AAGGGCGGGGTGGGGTGGCGGTGATGTAAAATGAATAAGGGGGGAGGGGAAGGTTGGTGGGTACCTAGTTGGGTGGAATGGAAATGACTCCAACAAAAGAGCGGGGATTCTAGAAATATTATTTATTACATAATACTGCAATCCCAGAAATTTTATAGAGAAAATTTAATTTCTTTGCTTGTTTGGCTTCTTTGTTTGATTTCTTTGTTTGTTTGTTTTTCGTTGTTTGTTTGGTTTGTTTATGTATTGTATGTATGTATTGTATTTATCTTGTAAAACTTACTCAATAAAAAGTTTTCTTAAATGGTTTATTTTGTTTGATCAAGTTTGGTATGTTTTTAGTAAGTTTGGTTTGGTTTTAGTAAGTTTGGTTTGGTTTTATTGAGTTTGTTTGGTTTTAGTGAGTTTGCTTTGTCTTTTTTTAATAAGTTTGGTTTGGTTCGGGTAAATTTAGTTTGGTTTGGTTTTGCGGGAAAAACTGTGTGAAGAGGAACTGTTGGACAAGTGAATCTAAGCCCCCCCCCCCCCCTTGAAAGGTCGAGGGGGGGGGGGTTTAAGCCGGATATAGACCAATATGTGAGAGGAGGTGATCTATCAAAGCCCTGAACAGTGTACAACACCATTCTGAAAAGAGATTTCAGGATTTGGCAGAAAAGCTTTGAACTGCTAATCTGTACAGGGTGTCGCAAAAAATAGATCTGTTAATCAGTATGTTACAGAAAATAAAGAACTAATATTCTGGAGAGTGTTTCCCAGAAATTAAGATCTGCTAGTTTATATTATACAGCGTGTCCCAGAAAAATAAATTCATTTATCTTTATACGTAGTAGATATGTCTCAGAAGATATAAGTTTGCGTCTGCATTGGGTTAGGTTTGGCTGATCTCTAGGGTTAAGGTTTAGGTTTAAGTTTAATCCTGGTTAAGGTTTGTGTTTAATCCAGGTTCAGGATTGTGCTTACTCCAGGTTTAGGTTAAGTTTACATTTAGTTTATGTTAGAGTGGAAAGCTTGATTTTCACTCCAGGATTAGGTTCAGGTTTGTCAAGGAATGCGAATGTACTCCAGGTTCTGGTTTAAATAGAGGTAAAAAGTCTCAAAATTGGGCTGACAATAGGATTAATGAAGGGTGCAGAATGGAGGGCGTTCTGGGACTAAATATCCAAGTTTTAACAAGTTAAAATATCCCCTCTTTATATGCGACACTTGGTTTATGTCAAAACATTGTATTATCTCTGTATTGATGAATGAATAAATGAATGGGATGAATGGGTTGAATTTGTATGCTTTATGTCAAACATGAATATTGAATAAACCGGTTTTGAGTGTTATCAAAACAAACAATTGGTCAGCTTGAGGATAACAATAGAACTTGAAATATAAATATTTGTTTTGAATAATATTGCTATTCTATAAATTTTCTATTAAACCTATCTCTATATCTTCCCAGCTTTACTTCTCTTTCCTTTTCTTCTTGTGTTCTCATGTTCTCCAACTCCTTCCTCAACTTTTCTTTCCACTTCTTTTCCCCTACCTTTCCTCTTCATTATCTTTTCCCATCCTTCCTTTCCTTTTCCTAACCTTTTCCCATCCTTTCTTTCCTTTTCCTTACCTTTTCCCATCCTTCCTTTCCTTTTCCTTCCATCCACCCATCCACCCATCCAACCATCCAACCATCCAACCATCCAATCATCCAACCAACCACTCATCCAACCACCCATCCATCCACCCATCCAACCATCCAACTAACCACCTTTCAAACCGACCTATACCGTCCAAGTAAACTAAATTAAGTTCTAGATTGAAATAAATAACTTGACACTTGCTTGTATTGATCGTATAAAATATGCAAGTTTAAAATCCCTGAAAATGTTCAGGCAGGGACTGGAGGACGGGAGGGGGGGAGGGTTTAAGGGCGAGGGGGTTGGTTGGTCAGTGAATGTTAATGTGATTGAAGGAATGTTTGGTATTTTGATTAGAATTTGAACAAGTTGTAACAACACGGTCTTAATGGTTCATGTCTCAAGTATATATCCATGGATATCTGTAAATCCATACTCAGATTCATGTTCAGGTTCGGAGAGAACCTTTCTCAGGTTCAGATTCGGAGAAAACCTTACTCAGGTTCAGATTCGGAGAGAACCTTAGTCAGGTTCAGTCTCAGATTTGGAGAGAACCTTACTCAGGGCCAGGTTCGGTGAGAATATTGTTTCAGTTCGGAGAGAACCTTACTCAGATCCAGGTTCGGAGAGTACCTTGTTTAAGTTCGGAGACAGCCTTACTCAGGTTCAAGTTCAGAGAGAACCCAACTCAGTTACAGGTTCGGAGAGCATCCTGTACCTAGGTTCAGGATCGGAGAGAGAATAAATTCTCCCATTCAACATATTAACCCGTGCACAGTATAAGGAACGAAGGTATGCAACCCCCTCCCCATATTTGACCTCCCCCCCC